AAAAAAAAAAAAAAGTGGAGGATCCTAAAACAATAATAAAATAATAAAATTGCCACCTTTTTTATTTTTTCCTAAAGTCATCTAATATTGTAAAAAGGTAGAATATCTTATATCAAAATCAAATATTAAATTAAAAATCCACGAGTATCTTTTTAAGAAATTACATACTTATAATAAAAAATATAATATTCTTATTTATTTATTTATTCATTTATTTACTAAACTATACTATTCAGGTGTGCAAATAATATAATTGTTTTATTTATATTGTCCAGCTGTAACGGTGTGACTGTCATTTAGATATAAAAAAAAAAAAAAAAAAAATTGAGTATTTTCCCTTATAGAAACATGAAAATTAGATAAAGTGGGTTAAAATTTGGAGTTGTGAATGTTTAGAAAAAAAATAATGGTTAAGTTAATATAATTATGAACTAATAAAGTTTCAATTAATAAGACGGTTAGTTATAATTATGTGAATAAATAGTATTTTTTATAAAAAAAATATATATTAATTTTATTTTTTATTTTTTCTAATTGTGTTGGTGTGATTGTAAAGACAAAGAGTAACATCAAATGATTTAATATTTTTTATATGTTGTAATCCTCAATAAAATAATTTCACACACAATCAATTTTTTAATCCAATATATCAATGGAATTGGTCCAATCCAAACATACCACTAAAACATTATTATAATATATTTATGTTGACTAATTGGAACTTTTGTCAAAATATAGAAACAACAACTTTTTCATTCAACTATTTTTAATTGACTTGTGGCTATACAAAATCCAATATAATAATAATAATAATAATTGTAATTATAATATAAGTTACCAACTAGGGCTATGTTTGGTAAAACTAGCTGATAAGCTAGTTGATAGTTGATAAGCTAGCTTATAGCTTATATGTAATTTTTCTAGCTCATAGCTTATAGCTTATGACTTATAGCTGAAAAGCTAGCTTATATGATAAAAGTGTTTGGTAAAATTAGCTGATAAGCTAGCTGGAATAAAAAATTCAACTACCTTATTTGAAAAACTACCTAAACAAGCTTATCAAATAAGCTCGAGCTTTTTAAATAAGCTTGTGACTTATTTAAATACAAGAAGCTTATAAACTAACCAAATAAACTATAAGTTAGCTTATTCGGTTTAGCAAACATAGCCTATGTGACTTGGGGTGAGTTTTTACAAGGAAATTCATTGTGTTTCAACCCACTAAATCATTTTTTTTTTTTGTATGAATAGTAGAATGTTGGTTGGTCAATAACATCATTTAATTTAATAATTTAATAGTATGTTATGTTGGTTTAACATTAGGCAACCATTAACAGTTGTGCTTTAAATTTAAATATCACTAGTTTTTGGCCCGTGCATTTGCACGGAAAGTTATATGATAGAAGAGAATAAAGTAAAAAAAACAAATATAAAAATAATAACATAATCATTGAAACAAAATAAGAAAT